GGCGGACTCGGTTGCTTTGGCAGAGCTGTCAATTGTTGTGGGAGAGGGGTCTCTTGACATATCTAAGACTCCTGATGCTGCAATAGTGGAGCTCTTTGTGTTTGGAATAGGTTCTGTGGCCACTGCAATGGGGCCTGTTGACATGGGTGAGATCTCTGTTGCCCTGGGAATGGTATCACATCAGATACCACTGTGGTAGACTCTGCTGAGGCTGTTGCTGAGGTAGAGAGTTCTGATTGTTGTTGATCAACAACTGTTGCTGGAGCTATCAGGTCCAATGTAGTAGAATTGGAGACAGTCACTGATACCTTATAGCAGTGGCGTAGGTTTGATTTTGAAATTGGTGGGGACGGGGACATCAATATTTAATATATTTAAAGTTTTGATCGAAAATATTGCTAGGGATATATCAGTGTCACTGGATATTGGTAGGGACACGTCCCTAGCGTCCCTACTAAATTCTACGCCCCTGCCTTATAGTCAGTGTGTATCTCCCCGCGCTCTTTTATTGGTCCCATCCTGATAATCTTTTGGCAAAGGACTTTAGACCTAAGCTTTACTGTGGTCCGGCTCTGAGTGTCAACGGACCTTGCAGAGAGTTCACTTTCAGCTGATGGTTTCTCTACATTGATTGGAACATTTTGGAAGATTACAAGGATGGTATCATGTGTGGAGCCTGTTCCTGCCAGGGTGCTTTCATTGCGGTCAAAGTTATCCAATGCCCCATTTAATGGGCTTGTTGCTTCTAGGACAAAAGGGAGAGGTACTCTGTTGTTACCTGCTGTAGTGATGATATGTTCAGCAAGGTCCACATCAATCCTCTTGACTGTGTTGTAGCTGACACATATTCCGTGATGGTTAAGAGCAGTCACCAGCTCTTTTGATCGTGTCAGACTGTGCACTCCTTGAGCCACCATTACATGGAAAGGTGTTGGTTCTTTGGCATCGGTAAGGATGTTATGCAGAATTTGAAAGACTACATCAGTCTTCAGCTGAGAGGATGTTTTCCCCTTAAACATATAGGAGAAAAACTCCTGCCATCTTTGTGGTCGGTTCTTAATGAATATGTCATTGGACAGTTGGAGGTCTTGCGGTTCACAGAAGCTCTTCTGTAGTCCAAAGCTGTATTCCTTCAACTCCTGCGCAAGCTCAGTTGCCACCTGTCTGACAGGGGAAACTCTCAGGGACTCTACCAAGACCTCTGGAGAACTGTTGGTGGAAAGTACCATCTGAGATGTTCGTTTGTTACTTGGGTATGTAAAGCTCGATGATTAGCTGCTTTACAGCTCGGTTTGACACTACTTGAGTTGAACCTTCATTGAGTCCGTCTCTGATGGAAGTCAGACTGAATGCTGTTTTGCTCAAATCAAGCCCAAGAGCTAAAAATCTAGCCTTCAAGGAGTTGTCTTCAGCTGTTATTGAATCCTCCTTTTCAAGGTTTTTCAGTATGTCCTCAATTTTGGCAATATATTTATTGAGTCTTTACGACAAGGGTCATGATATTGGATATCAGCTGCAAAAACAACATCTACCTCGCACATTACCACTGTTTGAGTATACACATGGTCCTTGAACAACATGGCCGCATTTAGTAGTTTCTGGGCCATCGGTTTTTCACAGATTCTGAACAATTTGTGTATTTTCTTCTGTTTAACTGTTTTGCAATCTGAACCACAAAAGATACTTACATTTTTAGTTGCACTGGTCTTAAAAAAATAACCCCCATAATCCACAGATAAATTTAAGTCAAGTCAAGTCAAGTCATCTTCATTTATATAGCGCTTTGGCTTTTAACAATGGAGATTGTTTCAAAGCAGCTTTACAGAGATAAACATACAATTTACGGTAAAATTTAAATTAATTAAAACTTATCTTACCATGTTTCCCGCTGTAGCCCAGTCTAATGAAGTATTATCTATGTGACACTGGATGGATAAGTTGTGCTCTCACTCTCTCCAGATATTTTGGAATTTTGTAAAATAAGGTTTCAAATATGAGTAATTGGTATACCAACTTATCTGAATAACTTCATGACATGAAGACACTGTAATTTCATCAACTTGTCTGAGACTATGTGATCACAAGTTGTGATGTACTGGTGATGACATTTTCCCCATTTAGCAAAAAAACAAAACAAAAACACTAGCAGCTAGCTAGTTAACAAACTGTAGTTAGCTAGATACAATACACACCAAATTAAATATAAAACTGATACAAATTCATTATAATTATTTAAATACACAAAATTACAACTCATATGATAATGACACGTAATAAGTGTACACGCCAACACAAAGAATAAAGAGTAGATTTCCTTACTCACCTCAGAAAATATGTAGCTTCAAGGGTTTATATGTATGCATATTTAATGAGATATTGCCTTATTTGCATATTTTATTTAATTTTTTAGACAAAGTGTAATACAAAAAGTATTTCTCTTAATATGAAGATTAATCTGGTAGAAATGTATGAGGATATCTATAAAGGGAAGAAAAAGTCCCATTCACCTGTAGTGTGATAATAGTGTCACCTATTGTGGTAATTTTCAGGACTTTCGTCCCGGTTAGAGATTTTGGCAAACATCCCACGTTGTTCAATGGGGTCATATTAGTCTATAACAGTTGAGATATTCTTCGCTAAATGAAGTGCATACAAATCTTACCCAGGCCAGGACCTCTACTACTAAGAAAGTTCAAGTTTAGTTTTGTATTTTGTTTTGCTCTAACCAGGCCTGGAGAAAATGATTTCCCGTTAAGCTAGCTAGCTATTTATTTATGTATTTATTTAACTAGGCTATATAGGACAGCTGAAAAATATTGTTGTTGGTTTTTTGTTCTTATTTTTTTTATATATTTTTTTCTGTTTTATTATTTTAATTTGTTTCATTTTGCCCAACTAACCAGCAGATTTGTTTTTAAAGAACTCTTATCTAGTTTTTTTAGATGTTAGTTTTGTTTTGCCCCATTTTTAAAAATTGTTTTAAGTGCTTTTATTTGTTTTTTGTTTGTTTGTTTTTGCTTTGATTTCTGTTTTTCTTTGTTTTGCCCTTGATGATGTCCTCTTTGATCTCAGGAATCCAAAATGCTCCTACCATTAGTGTGAGAATGGCAAGAGAGGGGGCATCGAATCAAAGGCAGAGGGGCACTGGCTTGGGGCCCCTGTGCTGGAAGTGCAATATTTATTGAGATCCTCCAAAATGACTTCCCAGCCTCAGCAGCTGCCCGTGTATGAATGACTCTTTGTTCCTGCAGCTGTTTGCCGAGAGAGAGAGAGAGAGAGAGAGAGAGAGAGAGAGAGAGAGAGAGAGAGAGAGAGAGAGAGAGAGAGAGAGAGAGAGAGAGAGAGAGAGAGAGAGAGAGAGAGAGAGAGAGAGAGAGAGAGAGAGAGAGAGAGAGAGAGAGAGAGAGCTCTCCTCACCTTACTGGGAGAATGAGAAAAAGGCAAAAAGATAGAAGGAAGGAAGCAGAGAGAGTGAGCTAGTGACAGTTTCAGATACTGATGAAGCTGTGGCTTTCTTTACTCTTCTCCTGGGTACACCCTCCCCCCCTGGTTGTTCTTAACCATTGATGTTTTGATTGACTTTTGAGGTTTTAATCCACCTGTGCCACTGTGCATCTTTGTGTAAATTTGACACATTGCTTCCCCATAATCCATTTTAGTAGCATGTGGTGGTGGGTTCAGGGACCGTGCCTCACCCGTTGCTGCACGGTTGGATGCTTGCTCTGAATGTGACTGCTAAACCCATTAGTGAAATGCTTCTGCAAACTAGCGTGACAAACCTGTGATGTTGTTTGGTCAGGATAATAAAGTGTTATTGGCCTGTGTATGCGTATCTTCGCACAATGTGTGGCATTGTGATGTATGCCTCTTAAAATCTGCTACTTTCATTATAGGTAATCTTTACGTGCTGATGAAAAAACAGCAGAGATGCAGCCATGTCGAAACTGGCGAGTTGTGCCACCTGCGACAAAGTATAAATTCTTAGAAATATGACACTTTAAGGTGATGTTGTCACAGTGTAATTACAATAAATACTGAGTAATATTAATTAACTACATTTTCTTACTATAAGGTTTAGCTTAGGGTTTGGTTTAGGGTTAGTTACCTGTAATTATGCATCATCTACTGTTATTACCGTAGTAAGTAACTAGTAATATTGTAACATACATCACCTTAACATACAGTGAAGCGTTACCATAATACTAAACAGTCTAAAAACAATTGGAAATTGCTTTTAGGATATGTTTTTGCTGATGCTTGCCTTCAGAAGGACTTGATTTTAACCTAAAATCACCATTATTTACTCCAAAAACCCTGAACCTCTATCTCAGATTTGGGACGATGGCCATGGAAAACTAAACTATTCATTTTGTCAGAATGGAATTAATCAAACTGAATCGAGTCTGATGTGACATTTCAGGCTCTCTGGGCAGACGTAAATGTTTAAATGCCAGTGTAGATTTGTTTGAAAGGTTTTTAATTTGATGACTCAATATCTGTCACGATGCAGATGGTAAGTTTATTACTGTGCCGTTTTGTCAGGTAGTGGAGTAAGTGAAACTTTGTGTGGATAATGCATGTTGTATTTAAGCTCTATTGGTGTGGCATGTGTTGGCATTAGCCCACCCTGCAGTGAACTCGGGTTGGCTTCTTCATCTCTCGAGTTCAGTTGTGGTCGTGTTAATTAGCTGTCGTCTGTTAATGCTCTTAACGGCAAACTCCAGGTGTCTAATCGGACTGTTATCTTCACTTCAGAATTTCTTTTATTGTCTTGTTATTAATTTGAAACTGACCTTTTTTCATACAGCAGTTGATGAACCATTGCTTGTTCTCCTCATTCCCACAGTTCACATGATGCTTAATTAGTGGGTTGCGAATAACAGCGCCGTCACATCAACCAGAGCCCTGCTGTCTCGTCCCATCTAAGCCCACAGGATATGTGACCCTAATACCTTGCTGCTTGGTCAGTGACTGACATCTTTCTCTCTCTCATTCTACAGAGTGTGTGGGGACCATTCAAGAAGACACCCCGCTGCTTCTGTTTCTTCCACGTCTGGCTTCAGGAAAGCGTTCTCTTCCAGCCATGCGGCTAACGGCACACATACACCCCTCCGCCATCCTGTTTTTGACCCTCAGCAGCTTGGCCTCTGCAGGTAAGCACTGTTATCCTTGTAACCCATCATCTCTCTCCTGGGCTTTTGGAATAACAGGTAAAGAGTGAGTGAATGTGGCATGACGTTGCATGAGCCGTCTATATCATATGTTCCGTTTGCCTTATGAAGATGAAGGAAAGGCTGAGAATTTATGAGGGGTGTTTTTAACGCCTTTCAAAAGTGCTGCTGTGTAATGGCTCATGATGAAGTGAATACCAGAGCTCAAGCTCCCTTGGCTAATTTTATGTTTTAAAGTGGTGTACATTTCTGGTCACCAAGCAGTGCCAAATGGGCCCCATCTGCCTTTTTTTGACAAAAAGTTAGTCTGGCAAAGTTAGTTAGGCAAAAGATGACATGTCAGACAGTAGAACATGCTTAACGTGCATTGTGGGTTCTTTCTTTTGGGTTATGATGAACACAAAAGAAGATATTTTGAAGAATATGGGTAACCAAACAGTTGACGGGCCCCATTGACTTCTATATGGAAAAAATACTATGGAAGTCAATGGGGCCCATTAACTGTTTGGTTACTGACATTCTTCAAAATATCTTCTTTTGTGTTCAGCAGAAGAAAGAACTTCATACAGGTTTGGAACAACTTGAGCGTGAGTAAATGATGACAGAATAAATTTTTTTGAGTGAACTTCCCCTTTAAGGGGGCGATTAAAGTTACCTTCAAACGTTTGTTCCGTTAAAATCAATATTTTCTTTTTCATGTAGGCCTATAGCTACAGTTGTGGTCAGAATTATTGGCACCCCTGGTCGTACAAATAAATCTGTGTCGTTTATCCTTTTGATCTTTCATTAAAATTTTTTGCAAAAATCTAACCTTTCATTGAAGTAAAATAATTGAAAGTGGGGGGAAAATCACATTATGAAATGCTTTTATGACCCTTCAGAAATCATTCTAACATACTGATTTCGTTCTCAATAAATATTTCGTATCATCAATGTTGTAAAAACTTGCGCAGTCTTTGATGAATACAAAGTTAAAAAGAACATAATTTATTTAAAATATTTTGTGACATTATAAATGCCTTTACTGTCAATTTGATCAATTTAATTGAAACTGTATTCTGACCCCAGACTTGTGAAAGGTGTATCTGATTAATGTAAATGTATGTATATGATGTGTTACTAGCTCTTCAGTTTAATTATTATGATGTGCTTGCTGCCTCATCGATTACGAAATTATACGATTAATGATATGAAGGATCATTAACCAACATATTCATCAATAATACGATGAAATAACACTATAATTGACCGTAAGCGTGCCTGCATCTAGTCTAAAACAGAAAACGGGGCATGTTCTTTGCCGGGACTCTTCGCAGGGCGTGTTCTCGATAAGCTGTGCCTCGGCGCTCATTGTCTTGACAGAGTGAGGCAGTGTTGCCTGTTTTGTCAGGCAATCACGATTCGCCCCCTGTGTTCGGAATTTCCCCGGTTCCTCCCAGCATGAGTCTTCTAGATCTGGCTGTCAGAGAGCAAAGGCCGGGGGGATTTGCATTAAGAAAGTGCTGACAGCCTCAATCTCTCAGCCTCGAAACACCATTGCCGCACGTCAGCTATGCGTCCTCTAACCCGACTCATGCAGCTCTATCTGTGTGATTGATCAGGGCTTGTTGGCTCAGTCTCTTCAGAAGAGTGATGATTTGTTCCCCTCTGGCACAACAGCCTGACAGATAGTTGCATGCCAAGAGAAAAAGGGAAAGAAAACAATATGGCAGCAACCAAACAAACAGAAGGAACAGGCAAAATTATGACAGTCATCAAGTCGGTGTTGTCGGAATGGAGTGTTATGACTTAAGAGTGCATGTATTTCACACAGTTCTATGATTTTACTTCCACTTGTTCTGTCGAATGTCTCTTTGTTGGTAACAGATCCCACTGGCCATTCTCAGCAGTTTTGCGACTTCTCTGTCACTCAAACCAAATGCTTTTCTTCTCGAGAAAAAAAAAGAATAGGAAAGTTGTGTAAATATTTGATGGAAAGACATCATTTGATGGTTTTTACACTTTTTTCTTTTTTCTTGTACATCAAAAAGTAATGTGAAGGTAAATTCACAACCCTACTAATTATATGAAATATGCAGCTGTCAGAAAGCTGATGTTAAAGGGTTATAAAAGTATACAATTCTCAGAGGTCATATATAAATAAGCTAAGAAAATAGAGGACTTTTTAATAATGTTATCTGAATTGTTGGTCAGCGTAACGCTAACATAGGATAAACACCTCCATCAACACGGCTGGTAAAGCGAGATGTTTGACCCGAGTCTCGAGGTGCTCAAAGCGGAACGGTTCCTGTTAGTGATGGTAAAACAGGAGGACAAAGGCTACTGTGTCAGAATGTCTCTTGAGTTTAGTGAAATTTGGCCACAATACAATTCTACCTACCCTTTCCTTTAATACTTTTGAGTGAGCATTGTTGCTTTGCACCATATATTTGCTTCTTAGAGTCTTCTTCGAGTCATGTTGGCACATTTACCTGGAGCACATTTATTGAGGCTCTGCCTTCTTTTAATTATTGTTGATGAAGCTGTTTCAAACCCAACATCACCCTTGTTTTGGGTGATGTTGATTTTGATCAAATTGGAGTCTAAACAAACTTTATGGGTGTCATATCAGGGCATGCTCAATATTTTCCTTGTACTCCATTTTTTCCTCTTGTTTTAGAGCATAGCAGCCTCACTGACGTCTTTTGTTTTCTAAAAAAAACTAGGACATTATCTAATCTGCAGCATCAGAGTGTCTGCAGCCCTGAGCCCTTTTCACATGGACTTCAAATCACTTCCAGTCATAACCTGTGTTCAGCTGTAGTCATCTGATTCTAGAGATGATAGAGGTGTGATATATGAACATCTCCATGTCTTCTGAGACCTTGTCATCAGAACGTCTCTTCCACAACACTGAATCTCCTGTGAGAGTGGTGAAATGTGTAATCTATATAATAGATTAGGAAGAAGATCTGTCCCACTGTGTCCCAGGATGGTTCTCTCTCATGTGATGTGACTGATACAGCAGGAATAGTGTTTCACAGGTGACATGTATTATTTTTAGGTCTATATGTAATGAGCACAATTTAATGAGACTCACATTTAAAAGGTCATGAAACCCTAAACTAAATTTTCTAAAGGTTTTAAAGGTCCCCTGACATGAGATTTTCACTTTCTGAGGTTTTTCAACATTAATATTAGTTCCCCTAGCCTGTATTTGGTCCCCTCGTGTCTAGAATTTTCAATCGGTGTAAACCGAGCTTTGGCTATTTTTCTCTTCTCTGCAGCTCAGACGCGCTGATCTTGAATCTCCTCCTTATGACGTCCTATAATGAGGAAAGGTTACCTCCCCTTTCTCTGCTTTGCCCGCCCGGAGAATTTGGCTCGCCCACGAGAAAATGAGCTAGGAAGTACGAACGCGATTAGAGTTTTACCTCGAGAGATATCATGGCTTGCAAACGAGCGAAGCATGGCAGTTGATCAGTGTTCGGATGTACAAATGAACACAAAAGTATTATGTTGGTCCGAAGGGTATTATGGGAGAGTAAAATAAGTGTTATCACTTTAAAATCAATAACTATGGGTGTTGTAGTCCTTAGCGAAATGCATCATGGGTAATGTAGTTCATATCAAGCGTGCTCGTGTGAGGGACGTGAATACTCTCGCTGTGCTGTGCAAGAAAGTTTCTGGGAGCTTTTCTGTTCGTTTATTTAAGTCAACCCACCCGGGAGTTATCGTGAACTGTAACTCTGACAACTTCACCCTGCAAGAATGAGTAAAATTGGATGCATTGGCAAACGTTGTCCCTATCATCATTGCCCGAATGTGAACTAAAGAGTCGTTACGCTACCGCTGTGAATGGCCGAAGCGGTGAATGAAACACAGGCTTTAAGATTTTGAATAATGTTGAAATAGTCTGATTAATATGTTCAACTTTAAATAGTTACACCAAAAATTGTAATTGTCATATTTACTCACCCGCATGTCATTCAGCCATGGCTGTCACACAAGAATTTCAAGGCAAGATTAAAGTGAATAGCAGCTTAAATTTCCGTCTGTTCATATGAAGCTCTCTTATGAATTTAGAGGATGCTCACAGGTCATATGAAGGACTTTTATAGTGCTTTTTGTGAAAAAGCACTGGCCATTCTGGTCCCCATCCACTTTCATTGTTGGTGTTCCATGGAGGAAAAAAAGTACACAGATTTAAAAGGTTGAATATATGATGCTAGAATTTTAGTTTTCTGGATGAACTTTCTCTTTAATAAGTATTTTTAAATAAGCTGTCTCTTTTCATCCCCTCTTTTCACTGCCTCTTTTCATCCCTTCATTTGTCAGACATTCCTTTCTAAGCACTTTTTGTACATCTGAGTTGCCTTTTTTTGGTCTCTCATTTTGCCAAGCTGTAGATTTTCAGTACGGTCTGTTATTATGGGATGGCAGGGCTTTTGGAAGCCCTCAAGTTTCACTGGTGAAGTGGAGAGTGGAGCAGAAATCCTGCCAGATATTAATTTGCTGCACTTGCCAAAAACAGCTCTTGCAGGATGCTGGTTACGCCGAGGGCCGAGCGTGTGGCCTGTGGGGCGGCTGCAGGAACACGCGTTGGCTCATGTACACGGGTGAAACGCCTCACTTTCCCCTCAGCGCTCCATCGTTTTTTACCCTCCCACAGCTCACAGGGATGAGTGACAGTCTCGTCATGCCTGTAGGGGCCATACAGATTGTTCGTCTACCCTTCCATTCTGTCATGTGACAAAGACAGAGAATTAGTGCTGAAAGGTGAGTTTACAGAAATATAGCTGCAGTTATATTCAGCTTAATGACACGCTTTAAAGGGGATTAGTCCTTGATCCTCATTTTAAAACAACAAAGGCTCTGCTTTGTGGACATAAATGACCCTAAACACTGAATAAACCATATCAAGGCAGGGCTCAACATTAGGCATGGCTTAGGGCCAGTGTGAGAAAGATTCAGGTCTGTTGATGGAACTGTTGTGTGTGTTT